ACTCACCCACCCAACCACCCACGCACTCAATTACCCACCTACCCACTCACCCACTCAATAAACGAAAACTTTACTATTTCTCATTGTAACAGCTAAGGCCCACAGAGCTATATAGATCTTTTTCAAAAGCGACCTTGTTACAAATGACAGGTAAACAAAGTGGCTTATCACATATACATTTATTGCAGCCAAATCCTCTGAATGCAAGTTTATTCTCAATGCAGAGGTAAAATCCCGAGGACCCGGAGAAAAATCCACGTGACCATGGGGAGAACAAGCACACTCCAAATATACAGATGACAGGGTCGGGATCTAATCACGACCACCTGTATACTAGGCGAGGTAGTTAATATCCTACCACCGTGGCGCCCTACTCTGACTCACCTACCCACTCATTACCTACTAACTTACCCACTCAAACTCTCACATTAACTCACTCACCCACTCAACCACTCAACCAACCACCCACTCACTCACTCAACCAACCACCCACCCATTCATCGATTCACTCACACAACTTACCCAAATACCCACTCAATCTCTAACCCATCCCACTCACTCACCCACTCACCCACCCAATAATCCACTAACCCATCGAGCTCGTTGTTGTGAGCGTCGCTCATCCGCCCTCCGTTGTTGTTGGAAGGCAACTGCCTCCAACTGCCCAGTAGCGTTCTTCACGAGCCTCCTCCACTGAGGCCGATCTTGACACTGCTGGTACCAGTCATCGGCAAGTCCACTCAGCTCCACGTCCTCCTGTACCACATCACTCCATCTCTTCTCTAGCCCTTGCCGCGCCGGTTTAGCCCCCTCGATCCGTGCCGAACAAAAGCTGTTAAGGCATGCGGTGGCTGGGCATGCGGGCTACATGACCCAGCCAACGCAGCCTTGCCTGCCGGAGGAGCTTACCGATGGGACTTTGCCCAGATCTTTCAAGGATTTGTGAGCTCCTCACACAATCCAGCCTGGTTAAACCCAGGATGGATCGTAGGCAGGCCAGCCTAAATGTTTCTAACCGGCGAAGATGCTCCATTAGGGGGGTCCACATTTCGCAAGCGTAGAGAAGGGAGGGAATGACCGTGGCCGAGAAGACCTGAAGCTTCGTGCGGAGTGACAGACCAGGTAGCTTCCACACAGCGTTACGCAACCGATGAAAAGATATTGCCGCTCGACTGATTCGGAGTGAGACATCTGCTGATAAACTGGAGCCGGTCATAAGCACACTGCCCAGGTATGGGAAACTCTCCACTCTCTCCACAACTGCCCCATCACCGATTGGGAGTTGTGGAGGTGGAGTGTCCGATGGTACCTAACCTCCAACCCACACACACTCACCCACCCACACATCCACGCACCCACACACTCACCCACCCATTCACTCATCCATCCATCTACTCACTAACTCACCCAGGCGTGCACCTACTCTCCCACTTTAAGATCCACTCACCCTGCCACATACTCAATTTATAACCCAACTACTCACCCACCCAACCACCCGCCGACTCCCTCAGCCACTTAGCCACTCACCCACTACCCACGTAATTATTGACCCACCCACTAATTTAATCACCTACTAATGTAACCACCCACTAACTCAATCACTGAGTCACTCGAACTTACCCACTCACCAAGCCACCCACTAAATCTCAAACCCACACTCATGCACTCACCCACCCGCCCACTTACTCACCAACACCCTTAACTAAATCTAAATTATGTTTTTTTGCCAGGTAAGGCACACTGACCTATATAGATTGTTTTGAGAAGCAGGGTTTGGATCGAACCTACAAACTTAAAAATACCAGGCAAGGTAGTTAACAATTTGCCAACATGGCACTCCACTCTCTGACTCTCCCACCCACGAGAACACACACTCAAACACCCACCCATTAACGCAACCATCCATTCATTCAACCACCGAGCCAAGCACACACTCACCCACTCACCAAGCCACCCACTCAATCTCTAGCCCACACTCACTCACCCAGCCACTGACCTACTACCCATCAAACGTCGCACTCACTCATCCACTCTCCCACTCGGCCACTCATCTGCACACTAAATGAAAATTACGCTTTTTTTTATTTTACCAGGTAAGGCCCTCAGCTATATAGATATTTTTCAGAAACCACCTGACCACAAATAACAGCTCAATGAAGCGGCTTTTCACGTATAAAGTTACAGCAGCCAAATTCTATAATTGCATGTTTTAAAATGTGGAGAGAGAACCCGGAGCACCTGGAGAAAATTTCACGTGACCATGGGGAGAACATGCAAATATACAGGTGTCAGGGTCAGGATCGACCTCACAACCTCCTGTATAAAAGGCGAGGTCGTTAACAGCTCGCCACCACGGCACTCCACCCACTCACCCATTCAAAACCACCCACCAACCCACTCACAAACCCACTCACTCTGCTACCCACTCAATCTTTAATCCACTCACTCAACAACTTACTCACCTACGGGTCGCTGGCTCGAGCTGCGTCTGGTCGCCTGGCGCTGGAGTAAGAGAGCGATTTCCCCTCTGCGCCCCTCTATTTATCCTCCCTACCTCAAAGGAGATGCTGCGCTGAACAATGGGCTCGCGCACCTCGAGTGCGCGCACGGCGGTTCCGGGCGCTTTTGATATGCTAATCAGTGAGCGGCGTGAACTCCAAACAATGGCACGCGCCCCCCTCGCCCGGGCCAGGCAGCTCCGCGGTGCCTTTGTTCCGCTAATCAATGAGCGACCTGCACGGCGCAAATTACAATCAATCCTTTTCTCACGCAGGCCCCCATCATCGAGGTTCATGCGGCGGTGTCCATCACAAAGGCCCGTCGTGGGAAGCTGTGCATGGCTCCCTGCGCGCCTCCCCTCTCCCGATCTATTCATACCTTCAGCTTAATCGTTTACCCTCCCCAACAATTGTGCCTGCGCGCTCAAGTGCAACCATCCCAACCTTCCGTGACTATGCGCAAGAGCCCCTGCGGTCTTGCTACTCATGCTGTCCCGTCCTTCCCCTGCTTGCCTCGATGACCCGTGGGGGTGTGTGTGAGGGGAAATGCGCCTCAACCGCGGTGGCCGAATGCCCCACGCCGCGGCCACACCATATTAAGGCCGGTCGCAGCGCCGCGGTGCAACGTAGCACGGGGGAGGTCATCCAATTCCCTGATCGCCGGAAACCGTGAGAGTTAATCCCGATAAGGGTTTCTCGGATAAAAACCGGTCGGCCAGGCGACCTCCCCTCAGAGCTCTATGGGGGGGGGGGGGAAATGAGTGCGGGTGTGTTCATGTGAGGTGAGGTGAGGGGGACGCGGGGTCGGCTCCGTTGCTTGGTGGTGGCGAGGTCGGGGATTTGGCGCCTGCCGAACGGCTTCGCGGCGGCGGCATCACATAGCCCCCCGAGGTGCCAGTCCCCGTCCCGGGTTGACTGGAGCACCTCGCTTGGGCCGCGCCCACGAGGAAACGTTGCGGGGTCCGGGGGATCCGTCCGGACCTGGTGGCTGGCCTCGGGGCGGGTGGCTCCGTCCTCTGTAGCTCCTGCGGCGGTCTCCTCCTCTACTCCAGCGGCTCTCCCCGTCCTCCGGCACCTGTGGGCTGGGGCACAAACTCAGCAGCGGAAGGGTTTAGCGGCCGTCGTCCGCGCCGTCTCCGGACTGGATCGGGGCGTCTCGGGGGCCCGGCGGGGCCCATGTAGTGTGCGAGGCCCCCCAACACGAGGGGTGCGGGTACTCCGGGATTTCGGGGCCTTCGGGTGACGGGGTTCTCTCTCGCCGGGGCCACTTTCCATGGTTTTAAGCAGCGGACATTGACCACCGTCTCTCGACCCCCCTCCCCGCCATAAATTAGTACCGTCCAGGGGGAGATCTGCCGCACCACGGTCCAGGGTCCCCGCCAGTAGGTCGTCAGTTTCCCCACCTGCCCGGCCCCGACGCGAGGGGTGTGTAGCCACACCTTAGCGCCTGTCAGGAATAAGGGGGGTTCCATGCGGGGTCGGGTGCCCTGTTCCTGCCGCCGATGCGCGGCTTCCCCTTGCGGGTATGCTCGGCCTCGGGCTTCTCGCAGGGTCTCCAACAGGTGTTTCACGGGGCGGCTTCCCTCCTCCGGCTGGGGGGGAGGGACGCCGAATAGCAGATCTGCGGGTAAACAAGACTCGCGGCCGAACATCATTAAAAACGGGGTTTGTCCCGTCGACGTGTGTACGGTGGTGGCATAGGCGAAAAGGGCGTAGGGGAGGTGTTCATCCCAATCCCGTTGATTTGCGGCCGCCATACGTTTGAGTTTCCCCGCTAAGGTCTGATTCATGCGCTCCACCATACCGTTCGCCTGGGGGTGGTACGCTGTGGTTCGGTCCATCTGGATTCCGAACTCTCGGCACAGTGCCTGGAACAACTCGGCCTCGAACTCGCTACCCTGGTCGGTGAGGACTCGTTCTGGGATCCCGTGCTTAAGTACGTAGTGTTCCACAAATGCCCGGGCCACCACCAAGGCCGTTTTATTAGGGATGGCCACTGCCACGGGGTAGCGGGTGAAATACTCTACTGCGACTAGGATATATCGGTTGCCTCGATGGGATCGCGGGAATGGCCCCTGTAGGTCGATCCCTACCAGCTGATTCATGCGGCTGACGCGGAACGGCCTTAGGGGTACCTGGTATCGTGCCGGTTTCGGCCCGCACTGCTGACAGGCGCGGCAGCCCTGTACCCAGGCCGCCACGTCTTGTGCCAATTTAGGCCAGAGATACTGGCGACGCAGGGTCTCTCGAGTACGTCGTTCCCCATCGTGGCCCCCGAGTGGGTGGTCATGCACCAGCCGTAGCAGCTGGGGTCGCACCTGGGCAGGAACACAGATGCACCCCGGCTGGCCGGCCTCGGTTAACTCCCGTACCACTCCGTTCTGCACACACAACCGGGCATACAAACCGCTCCAGGGTCCTGGTAGGGCGCTCTTTTCCTCCCGCAGTGCCGCCTCCACTGCCGCCAGATCCGGATCTCGCTGCTGGGTCTGTCTCAGCTGCTCGTCGTTTAGGCCCGGGAAGGCGCAGCCGATGTCCTCCTGGATCCGTCCGATCGGGTCCCGAGCCGCGGGTCCCGCGCTTGCCGGGCGGTCGACGGGATCCTCAGTGCCACCTGTGAGGGTCTCTGTGGCGCACACTGCACTCTCTCTCGCTGGGGGGGGGGGGGGGTCAGTGGCCGCGGCCTCTCGGGGGTCCGTTGCCTGCCGGCAGCGTCCCCCCATGAAACACGGGCAGGCCTCCTCCGCCCTCGTCTCGGCGTACACCGTGGGTCGCCTCGACAAGGCGTCCGCGTTTGCATGCGTCCGGCCAGCCCGATACTCGATTTGCAGGTTGTACTCCTGCAACTGCGCCAACCACCGGGCTATCTGCCCCCGCGGCACCTTGAATGTAAGAAGAAACTGCAGAGCATAATGGTCAGTGCGTACGCGACATCTCCTGCCGTACAAATACGGCCGGAACTGTTTGCATGCGAAAATCACGGCGTACAACTCTTGGCGGGTCACGCAATAGTTCAGCTCAGCAAGGTCCGGCTGGCGTACGCGATGACTCGTTCCGTCCCATCCTGTACCTGTGACAACACCACGCCCAGCCCGCTGGTGCAGGCGTCGGTGTCCAAAATAAAATCGGTGGTAAAATCGGGGAAAGCGAGGGTGGGGGCGTGGGTGAGGTGGTCTTTGAGAGTGGTGAAGGCCGTCTGGCAGGCCCCCGTCCACTGATAGGGGTGCTTAGGGGAGGTGAGTTGGGTGAGAGGGCGTGCAATCTCGCTGAATCCCTTTACAAATCGACGATAATAGGTGGCGAGCCCCAAAAATGATCTGATCTCCGTCAGATTCCTTGGTCGTGGCCACTCCACTACGGCGCGTACCTTCTCCGGATCGGTGTGCACGCCTGCCTCGCTGACGCGATGCCCGAGGTACCCCACCTCGCGTTGTGCGATGTAACACTTACGTGGCTTGAGCTTGAGATGAGCCGCTCGCAGTCGCTGGAACACCTCTCGAAGCCTGGACAAATGCTCAGACAAAGATCTACTGAACACTATCACATCGTCCAAGTAAATCAGGCACTGTTCCCATTGCAAGCCCCGCATCACCAACTCCATCAGCCGCTGGAACGTCGCAGGCGCATTGGTGAGTCCGAACGGGAGTACTCGAAACTCGAATAGCCCCATCGGGGTGGTGAATGCGGTTTTTGGCCGATCCTCCTCCGCCATCTCCACCTGCCAGTACCCGGACGCGAGATAGAGGGTGGAAAAATATCGCGCTCCGGCGAGGCTGTCGAAGGTGTCGTCGATGCGGGGTATGGGGAAGGCATCGCCGAGCGTGACTGCATTTAGTTTACGGTAATCGACGCAGAACCGGGTTGACCCATCCTTTTTCGTTACTAGTACCACTGGGGCTGACCAGGGGCTCGCCGAGGGCTGAATTATGTTATCGCGAAGCATGTCCCCAACCGCCTCTTTGATCTGGGTGCGTTCGGGTGCGCCTACTCGGTACGCAGGGAGTTTGATGGGTCGGGCTGCACCGGTGTCAATTTGGTGCTTAACAAGGTCGGTCCGACCCACGTCCGAGTCGTGTTCGCTGAACACGTCGGCATACTCCCGCAGTAACTCGCGCAGCCGATCGGCCTCTCCCTTAGGTAAGTCCGCCCATGGTACATGTAACGCGTCGAGCAGGGGAACGACCTCGGCTCGGGGAGTCGGGCCGACTCGCCAGGCCAGGTCCTGCTCACCCTCAGGACGACCGGGGTCCTCAGCCCAGAGTGCGAACACCGAGTCGTTAGAGTGGCGTGCGTGCAGGGGGTGTACTGTGGCTATCGGGGTGCACCGTCGCAGTATCGCTGGGGTATTGTGGGGGTTAAACATCCGCATAAACAATCGGTCCCCATCTGCGTTTACCAACGTGGCGGATCCCACAACCCCATACCGTTTTGCCAACTCCGGGTGAGGAGTTAGCATTACCTCCCCTGATGGTCGGAGCGCGGGGTCGGTGGGGGATGTTGCCACCGGCACCAGCATCTCGGTGAGCGGGCCGATGGTGACTGCCGTCGCCAGGATAGCGGCCACAGGTGCAAAGCGGCGGCGCGTTGGTTCTCGTCCCAGGAACGGTATCCGCTCGCCGTTGCTCTCCATGGTGGCGCATCGCTGGCGGGGTTGCACGTTGAGTCCCAACCATTCTAGGAGGTCGGTGCCTGCGATACACTCGTGACACAACGCACTCGACACGTAGAACTCCTGCGTGCACACCTGGCTGCCTATGCGGACCTCTAGGGTGGCTCTCCCCAGCAGCCCCATTCCGGCTCCGCTCGCAGTGTGCAGCGCGCGGTCCGGGGCCTGCAGGTGACGCACGTCGACCCCGATCGTGCTGCAGTGCGCTGCGCTCACGAGCGAGGCCACCGCCCCCGTGTCCAGCAGGATTCGGGTACGCACTCCGTTTACCTCCCCTTCCACCAGCGACGTGGCCGCCGTGATCCCCGCCACCAGCTCCCGTAGCCAGTCGCCAGGAGTCACCGTTTCTGTGGGCGTTGTTGCTGGAACCTGTGTGGAGATCACTCGCTCGCCATTATTCTCACAGCTTGTTTGTGTCGGGGCTACGTCGATTTCACCCCCCGGTGGTCCCCTCTCTAGGGGGGCCTTAGTGTTTGACCTTAGCTCTTGTCTAGCTCGGGCGACCTGAGGACAGTCCCTCCTGAGATGCCCTCGCCGATTGCACACATAACACGCCCGGGGAGGGGTGGCGGCTCCGTAGTGGGCTCTCTGCCCACTCCCTCCTCCCCCAGTGCGCTGCTGCTCATATTCTGCTTCTAGAAGCGCTACTCTCCCAGTTAATCCTCCTACCTCGGCCTGGACCGTCTCTACTATTGTCTCCAGCGCAGTCATGTGTGCCCGTACTTGGGTTACCTTGTTGTCTACTTGGGTTACCCTGTCACCTACCTGGGTTACCCTGTCACCTACCTGGGTTACCCTGTCGCCTACCTGGGTTACCTGGCCGGAGACATCCTTTATACCCGTTTGTATACCGGCAACCCATCCCGAGGTTGTCTCGCGGGACACTGGAGGCTCTCTTTCCCGGCCCCTTACCGTCCTCGCGAGCTCCTGTTCCTCCTCCTCGTCTTCCGAGAGCAGGCTCGCAATGGCGCGCTCTCGTCCCAGCCCCCGGAGCTGCGCGCGTTCGCTGTGAATTATTTCACACTTACGTGCGCGCTCGACAAGGGCGTTAAAGGGAAGACGTGGGCAGCTCATGTCTGGCTGCCACCACGCCGTGCGAGACAGGTACCGCTGGATTTTCTCGGCGGCCAGTTCCTCAATAACATCAGTTGCGTACCCCGGGCGTGCGATCTTTGTTAACTCGCGCACATCCTCGGCGTAATCACGTAGATCTTCGCCAGGTTGGCGACGGCGCGCCTCTAAGGCCGATTTTGCTTCCTCCTCGTCACGCGTGCCAAAACGCTGATCGAGTCGGCGCATCAGCTTCTCTAGCTGTGTCTGTGCGCTCGCGGGTAACGCTTCTACAAAATCGGCTGCCCGCCCATCAAGATTCATATTAAGTTGGCGTACTGCCTGCGCGTCCGTCCATCCATTAATTTCCTTGGCCCCTAAGAGATTGCGGGCGAATGCCTTCCACGAAGGGGCCCCCCGGCCGGTAAATATTAGTCTTATTTTAGCGTGAGGTAACGCGGGGGTCCATCCCACTTCTGACACCAATTTGTGGGGGCCGTTGGCCCCCGAGGTCCCTCCCGCCTGCATCCCCTATTCCGTTTACGTTACCCCACCTCCCTATTACCCGCTACGGTTTCGCCGGCATTCGAACGCGACGCTCCTACTGTTACAGCCTCGCGCCGCGCTCCCATGCTGCGAGCATACGTGCGCACATCATCATCAATCAAACGCCGTGCTCGCAGTATAGCCCTGTGCGGCACGTTACCAATGCGCATCCGTATCCGACACGTAACGAACGTATGCGCACTCCCACACACAGCTCTGTGCGGCACTCACTCAACACTGACCACCCACGTTAGGATCGCGCACCTGTATTATACACGTCGTGAACGTGCGCGCACACACATACAGCTCCACACGCGATACCCACTCTTGCGCCGCTCTGCGCCGCGCTGGCCGCTCACGATATGATCGCGCACCTGGGGTACGCCGATTACGCACGCCGAGAGCTTACGCATACACTGTGCCACACGTGTTCACACTTATAACACGAGATCACACGAGGCCACGATCAGCTATTAATGATTTATTATCCGCTACCTGGAACTAGATGTTAAATCAGTGAGTCGACGAGGCTGGCCTACGCTGATACCTCTATACCTATTCCCGATTTATCTGCTATGATTCTAATTCACCTTATTACTCACTGTTAAGTGTCCACGGCGGTCCGCTGATCCTTGTGCTAACCGCGTGCCTCGGTGCTTCGCACGGACGTCCGGGTCGCTGGCTCGAGCTGCGTCTGGTCGCCTGGCGCTGGAGTAAGAGAGCGATTTCCCCTCTGCGCCCCTCTATTTATCCTCCCTACCTCAAAGGGGATGCTGCGCTGAACAATGGGCTCGCGCACCTCGAGTGCGCGCACGGCGGTTCCGGGCGCTTTTGATATGCTAATCAGTGAGCGGCGTGAACTCCAAACAATGGCACGCGCCCCCCTCGCCCGGGCCAGGCAGCTCCGCGGTGCCTTTGTTCCGCTAATCAATGAGCGACCTGCACGGCGCAAATTACAATCAATCCTTTTCTCACGCAGGCCCCCATCATCGAGGTTCATGCGGCGGTGTCCATCACAAAGGCCCGTCGTGGGAAGCTGTGCATGGCTCCCCGCGCGCCTCCCCTCTCCCGATCTATTCATACCTTCAGCTTAATCGTTTACCCTCCCCAACAATTGTGCCTGCGCGCTCAAGTGCAACCATTCCAACCTTCCGTGACTATGCGCAAGAGCCCCTGCGGTCCTGCTACTAATGCTGTCCCGTCCTTCCCCTGCTTGCCTCGATGACCCGTGGGGGTGTGTGTGAGGGGAAATGCGCCTCAACCGCGGTGGCCGAATGCCCCACGCCGCGACCACACCATATTAAGGCCGGTCGCAGCGCCGCGGCGCAACGTAGCACGGGGGAGGTCATCCAATTCCCTGATCGCCGGAAACCGTGAGAGTTAATCCCGATAAGGGTTTCTCGGATAAAAACCGGTCGGCCAGGCGACCTCCCCTCGGAGCTCTATGGGGGGTGGGGGGGGGGGGGAATGAGTGCGGGTGTGTTCATGTGAGGTGAGGTGAGGGGGACGCGGGGTCGGCTCCGTTGCTTGGTGGTGGCGAGGTCGGGGATTTGGCGCCTGCCGAACGGCTTCGCGGCGGCGGCATCACACAACTCACTCACAGACCCACCCAGCTAATCACCCACTCTATGTGTAGTCCTCACCACTTCCAGTATTGTGAGATATTCTTCCTCCCAGCGGTATCTTCACGACAACGCCCTGAAGGGTGGGCAAGCCTCTCAACGAGTCGGGCGAGCGGGGCAACAGCCTGGTCATGTTGGGTTCATAGCGCAGTGCGGCACATGCATACACACAAGCAGAACACACACATATGAACACAATAACAACAGTGGGAGCCACTCACGCGATAGGGATGGGCCGCATGGTCCACTCCAGCTCGATGTACGGCTTGCCCGGATACAATGTTAACTACCTCGTCTGGTATACAGGAGGTTGTCGGTTAGATCCCAACCCTGACACCTGTATATTTGGAGTTTGCATGTTCTCTCCGTGGTCAAGTGGATTTTTATTCTGGTCTGCTGGATTTTCCCTACACATTAGAAACAGGCGTTTAGAGTAGTTGGCTGCTATAAATTTCCACATAAGGCACGTTGTTGACCTATCATTTGTGGCCAGGTCACTTCTAAAAAAAGAGTTATGTTACTCAGTAAGATGGTTGAGACACAGGTGATGAGCCTGTGTGTAAGGGGTTGAGTGAGTGAGCGGTTTAATTCATGATTGAGTGATTGATTGGTTGAGTGAGTGGCTGAGTGAGTGAGTGAGTGAATGGTTGAGTGAGTGGCTGAATGAGTGATTTATGGAGCGATTGGTTCAGTGAGCGAGCGGGTGGTTGAGTGAGCGAGTGAGTGGTTCAGTGAGTGAGTGGTTGAGTGAATTAGTGAGTGGTTGAATGAGTATTTGAATGAGTGAGTGTTTGAACCAATGAGTGAGTGTTTGAGCGCATGAGTGTGTGGTTGAGTGAGTGGTTGAGTTAATGACTGAGTGAGTGATTGATTGAGTGAGTGGTTGAGTGAGTGAATGGTTGAGTGAATGGTTGAGTGAGCGAGTGGTTGAGTGAGTGAGTGAGCAGTTGAGTGAGTGGTTTAAGTTCGTGGTTGAGTAAGTGAGTGGCTATATGAGTGGCTGAGTGGCTGAGTGAGTGAGTGGATGAGTGAGTGAGTGGCTGAGTGTATGAGCGAGTGGATGAGTGAGCAAGTGGCTGGCGCGCACCTTGGCTGCGTTGTCCAGAGTGTCCCGCTGGTGCCGCCCCACTGTGTTGCTGCACTCCGCCAGGGTGAGAGCGGCTGTTCCGCGCCCGCAGCTGCTCCAGCGACTACGCCATCTTGCCCAGCCCCTCCTGGCGAGCACGCAGCATGCCCTGGAGCTCCCATCACATGGTGCTGGCAATCTGAGACACCCGCCTGTAGCACACACACAGAAGAAGAGATACGGGAATGGATTAGGGTGACCCGGGTGACGAGAAGTTCACTACTTCGCCCGGTATACAGGAGGTTGTAGGTTTGATCCAAACCCTGATGCTTACATATTCAATTCTGCTCGTCCAGGCGGGGAGAATCCAATCACATTTATTCGATGTGATGTTTCTCATGGGATATAATAAGCGACAACATTTGGACCCCAAACCGAGAGGATTCTGGGATGTTTGTGGTTTTTTGGCAATAACTCTGGAAGGAAATGTCGCAGACCCATCAAGGTGGGACTCGTCCAGCGACATAATGGTTGAGTGAATTCGGGAATGGTTGAATGAGTGAGTGGTTGAGTGAGTGGTTCAGTCAGTTAGTGGTTTAGGGAGTGAGTGGCTAAGTGAGCGAGTGGTTGAGTGATTGAGATAGAGTGACTGAGCGGCTGAGCGGTTAAGTTAGTGAGTCGTTGAGTGAGTGTGGCTGATTGAGTGAATGGTTGAGTGAGTGAAAGAGTGATGGTTGAGTGGTTGAGTAAGTGATTAAGTGAGTGAGTGGTTGAGTGAGTGGTTGAGTGAGTAAGTAGCTTCGTGAGTAAGTAGCTTCGTGAGTGTGCGGCTGAGTGTTGAGTGTGTGGCTGAGTGAGTGGCTAAATGAGTGAGTGGCTGAGTGAAAGGGTGAGTGGCTGAGTGAAGGAGTGAGTGGCTGAGTGAGTGAGAAAGTAATTGGTTGAGTGGTTGAGTAAGTCATTAAGTGAGTGAGTGGTTGAGCTAGTGAGTGGTTAAGTGAGTGGTTAAGTGAGTCCCCAAGCCGAGAGGATTCTGGTGAGTCGTTGAGTGAGTGGTTTGGTGAGGGGTTGAGTGAAAGGTTGAGTGACGGGTTGAGTGAGTGAGTGGTAAAGTTAGTCGTTGAGCGAGTGGTTGGGTGAGGGGTTGCGTGAAAGGTTGAGTGAGTGAGTGAGTGGTAGAGTTAGTCGTTGACCGAGTGGTTGAGTGAGTGGTTGAGTGAGCGAGTGCTTGAGTGAGCAAGTGAGTGGTTGAGTGAGCAAGCGAGTGGTTGAGTGAGTGAATGGTTGAGTGAGCAAGCAGTTGAATGAGCGAGTGGTTTAGTGAGCGAGTGGTTGAGTGATTGAGTGAGTGAGTGGCTGAGTGAGTGGCTGAGTGAGTGAATGGTTGAGTGAGTGAGTGGGTGGTTGAATGATTCGTTGAGTGGTTGAGTTAAATATTGAGTGAGTGGTTGAGTGAGTGAATATCTGAGTGAGTGAGCGGCTGAGTAGTTGAGTGAGTCGTTGAGTGAGTGTGTGGCTGAGTGAGTTTGTGGCTGAGTGAGTGAATGGCTGAATGAATCACAGCTATGATAAAAATGGACAACAGCATATAAGTGGTCTTGTATTCACTCAGTAAATGAAGTTTAATATAAAATTGTACACTCACAGGATCGAGATAAAGATGACATTGCACATCGGAGTAAACCGAGTCGCGGCTATGATGAAATTTTGCATTAGCATAACATTGATTTATTAGCATACAACATTACTTTTGCAGAGCGATTTAATACAAAAGTCTGATAGACTACATTTTATAAAAAGTACATACAAACCAGGCATCAATACCGTTGCTTTGTATGATCGGACATTTTGAGCTTGCTGCTGTATCGACTGAGTGGAATCAATACAATTAGTATCGATTCACAATCAACAAAGACCATATATGGGAAAATCTCTGATCGGTGATTTTGATTGCATCGTATTGCAGCGCCCCTTTGATGATGTTATAAAGCACTTGCCCCAACAGTCTGTTAAAGGCTATATGGGGATCTTTGTGTGCGAGTAGCTCACAGATCCTTGAGAGATCTGGACACTGTCCGATCATCAGCGAGCTCCTCAGGCAGGCGAGACTGCGTTGGCTGTTGTCTGTGCATTATGAGGTGTTAAATATCCCACGCAGAGGAGTCTGCTTATAGGACAGATAAGAGGTTCTTCACTGACCGTGCCCCGTGTCACCTGAACGTTAAATGGGGTCCCGGTAATTCAGTGTCCATCGCTGAATCATCTTTCACCATCACCACGCGTCCATTAAGGCCAATGCGACGAGGCCATAAATAGACGCCGCGTTATAACGGGGGGGAGGGGGGGAGCAGGAGAAACGTCGTACTACGTGACATCACAACACCCTGCACACAGCCATAGTGGCTGATTAGGGTGCGCATCGTTCACGAATATGTGGTTTAAGTGGTTGAGAGTATATTTTGGTGTAAATTGATCACGATGCATTGCGTAGCCTGCATTTAAAATTTCATGCGTGGGTGTGTGAGCAGATATGAGTGGGTGATTCTAGATTTGAAGCTTTTGTGACTGCAAGGATTCATACTCTTAGTTCTTTCGGTAAAGTCACGTAGGTAAAAAAATGAACCAACTAAACGTCCCTCTCTAAAACCCTCGGCTGCTAGACCTCCCAGACTCTATGGTCTTCCCAAGATCCATAAAGAAGGCACCCGCTACGACCCATCGTGTCAACGATTAACTCTCCTACCTACAAACTAGCCCGTTTTCTATCAGACACTCTACTTCCCTTCACAGGCAAGACCTCTTCGGCAGTACTCAACTCAACCCAACTAGTCTCTTTGGTCAAGGACATGGTACTATCTCCTGATGATATCCTCGTTAGTTTTGATGTAGTATCCCTGTTTACCAAAGTTCCAGTGCCTGATACCCTAACAATAATTGAGGACTTGGTCCAACATGGATTGAATTCTGATGTACCTGCGCTGGTTAGGCATTGCCTCACCAACACTTATTTTACCTGGAATGGCACCTTCTACAAACAAAATGAGGGTACCCCTATGGGCTCCCCCTTGTCACCAGTGATAGCCAACATGTTAATGGAAAAGTTTGAATCAGACGCCATCCAGACATCCACCCTGCGTCCTTCCCAGTGGAAGAGGTATGTGGATGACACTTTCGTCATTTGGCCACATGGCCTCCCAGCATAGAACCACTTTTCGGACCACATCAATTCCAGACATCCATCCATCAGATTCACCATGGAAGTGGAGAAAGATGGCAAACTACCATTCTTAGATATTCTGTTTGAGAGGAGACCTGACGGATCCTTGGGACATTCTGTTTACAAGAAAGCCACCCACACAGATTCTTACTTGAAACCGGATTCTCACCACCACCCATCTCAAAAGAATTCTCTCATCAAAACGCTATACCACAGAGCTCATGGCATTCCTGACCAACACCACCTGGCCAGTGAATTGAGACATGTACATCGGGCCCTCAGGATGAACAGATACTCTGAACGCACCATCCGCCAAGCTGTTTCTCCCACCATACAGAAACAGCCACTTGAACTCTGATCAAAACTGTCACGTTACCATACATAGCAGGCGTGACCAAAAAGATCTCCAAAATTCTAAACAAACATAAGATCCAAGTCCGATTCAGTACAGTACATAAAATCCGTGATCTAATTCCATCTGTGAAAGATGTCATCCCTGACTTGCAATACCCTGGAGTCTATAAACTGAGTTGCAGCTGTGGTGACTGTTACACTGGGGAAACGAAACGTCATGTCTCTGATCGTGTCCGCGAGCACAAGTCAGATTTGAAACACGGCAAAATTGAGTCGTCCGCCGTTGCCGATCATTGCTACAACTCGGTGGGCTCTCATGAGATTGTTTTCTCCGAAACTAAGGTGCTCTGCAAGCCTTCTGGCTACCATCAAAGGTTTGTACACGAAGCCATTCAGATATACAAACACAGACATAATTTCAACCGTGATGATGGGTACAAACTTAGTAATCATTGGAAAGATGTTATCAACCATGCCAAAAAGATTTAATTACACATTTTTGGACCATCTTATTTAACAGGTACTATTCTACTTCATCCCCAGTGTTTAACAGTACTCTCCTTTTTTGTATTTGGGTTGTCACCAATACTGGGTTAAACAACATGCGCAGTGTCGTTCTCTTTTAGCATGTGTCCTTTAGCATGCCTGTTGTTCTCTTTTAGCCCCCCCCCCCCCCCCAATATGTTCCATTCATCGGCTACCACACTCAGGTAAGCTCCTCCCCCCTCCTCCCCTCCTTAACTTGTATTTTAAGAACTTGTATCTTGGAATTTTTTGCCTCACTTGATACAGTAAATCTAGCTGTGACGGTCCCACCTGATGACGGAGACTTGTGTTGTCTCCGAAACGTCGTGATTTATTATTTTATTTTATTTCTATTATTACTTTTATTTAGATTTTATTTTTTACCTATATTGTATGTGTTGGATTATGAAATTTTGATAAAAATAATAAAAATTAAGAATTTTCAGAAAAATGCGCAAATCGCATTATGTTAATGTGTGTATTAACATGCATTAATTATGATAATGTATGTAATTATATGCATACATTATGATACTCACGGAGATAATCGTAGTAATTTATGCGGATGCTTGTGATTATGTTACTGTGAGCAGTTATGATAATTAGGCTCAGCTTCGTTTACCCAGTGTTATATCAATCAGGATAACACGATTATCATCGATTAAACGTTTACCGATTATCTTAGTGTGTTTATGTTATTTTAGGTCTCCAGTTTCAGATCTCATCACAGGCTACAGTTCTCAAGAATAAGACAGTTTTGCATGGACTTGGAAGAAACACTCGAGACTTGGTGTTAAGCAATTTTAATTCTAAACAAACACATGACACTAGTATGCAAAAGCAAGTATACGTCAATAAATTCATGGGCAAGATTATGCAATTAAGGAAAATGGATGACTAAAACATTCCTTATGTAACTCGACGGCAGCAACTGCTTTGCACGATCAGTTGGTAGTGAACGCACCACCTCGAAATGGCAACCCTTTTTGAAACGCAAAGATAATTTTTTTAAAGTCTTATTCGTGTGCGTGCTGTGTGTGCGTTGTCCCCTTGTAAAATTAATTCATTCTTAGAGCCGGGAGTTGTGTCGTTAGCTTGTGTGGTGTGGGAGGATACAAACAGCGGCCAGAGGTTTCCTCTGGGTTGGGCGTGGCCGCAGCGAGTCGTGCTGCTCGGGGCGTGCTGCTCTTGCGCTCTCTCTCCCTCTACTGCTAGATGACGAGTTGGCACGACGCTCGGTGACGCCCGGGTCGTGCTGCTGCTGTGGCTCTCTCCTTGATCGTTGCCAACTTCACACGGACACTCGCCCTTGCTTCAGGCTGTGTTGGCTTGTGGCTTTGGACGACGCGGCTGTGCTCACTGGGTGGTGGTCGGTCTGAGTATCAAACACACTGCGCATTCGGTGGCACTTTCTCTCTCTTGGTGGCAGCCCCCGGCTTCTCCACTGCTCGATTGATCGTTGAGTCGACACGATGCTCGCCGTCGCTCTGGACGTCTTGTCTGTTTACACTGGTCGTTGGTAGGTGTGCCCTCAAACACACGGCACATTCGATGGCGCTGTCCTCTTCCTCACAGCCGTTTGATCAGGCTTTCTCCACTGCTTCGCGCTCTCTGCTTTGCATGCTTGGTCGACGCTTGGCGATCTCCGCCCTTTTACAGGTTGATTGCTTGTCGTCACTCGTCACTTTCTCTGCTCTGTGCTTCCCTTGTTCGTGCAGCTGCCAGCTTCACTCGCACTTAACTTCGTTCTGCGAGAAGCGACACCTGCTATCGGCATCGGTGTTTCGTTTCCTCACGACGCTCCGCCAGCCGGAGCACGGCTGAAACCCAGCCCCGACCCAGGTTGAACTCGGACATCTGCGACTCGAACGACCCCTCCTCGTCCCATCACTTCTCGAGGCACAACCGCCCCAGCTCTCTTGCGAGCCCCGTCGCAACGCTGCATCGCAAGCCGAGTCGCGAGACTGAGCGTGACTCGAACAGACTGCACTCAGACTGTCACCTTAACGATGTCTCGTCGTCCCATCTCTCCTCGAGGCACGATCTGCCCCAGCTCTCTTGCGAGCCCCGTCGCAACACTGCGTCGCAAGCTGAGTTGCGAGACCAAGCGCGACTCGGACAGACTGCTCTCAGACTGTCACCTTAACGACGTCTCATTGTCCCATCTCTCCTCGAGGCACGATTTGCCCCAGCTCTCTTGCGAGCCCCGTCGCAACGCCGTGTCGCACGCCGAGTTGCAAGACTGAGCACGACTCGGACAGACTGCTCATTCGCTATGTGCGCCCGTGCCTAACTCAAAACGTGACTCCCCTCTCTGCGCATTCCTTGCGAGCGGGCAACAAAACACAAACAGAGCGAGAAGAAGCAGACACCCCCGCGACCCCTCCTCGCGACCTTTCCTAACCCTCCAAGCATTCATGGGCCATCTGTTTGTGCCGGACCGTTGGAGACAAAGGTGGCTGAGGAGATTTTTGCAATACATTTATATGGCCCTGTGTGTTACATTTATTCTTGAGTTATATTTTAATGTCCTGAGGTTAAGTGCAACTAAGTTTCCACGTACGCTTCCTGGAATTCGTACTCTTTAGTTTTTAGGAAGGTCATGTAGGTAGGCAACATATAATTCTAAATAATATGTATGCTGTGAATACGAGTAATATAAGAGAATTACTAATAATAAAAAAAATTTTTGTTTGTTGGTTAATTCTCTTTGTTAAGTTTCTACTTTTCGGTTAGGAAAACGTTAAGAAAACGCGAGTGGCAACCGTTATTATCCTTTACTCTGCTCTGCACCCCCTCCGTGCATATCAAGATGTCTTGGGAGGTCAGGCCATCGATCTTTGTCCATCTGGATGTCTCTGACCTCTCTGTGACCGACTTCTTACCAGTTTAATGGCCGTTTCACAGATTCCTGGTGTGCTTGGAGTGGGTTGTTTTCATTATTTAATTGAAAAAAAAGATATAGATATAATAAAAAAAAAATTCTTAATTATTCTTAATATTAATAACAGAAAACAGGGCATAGATACAACACCTACGTGACTTTACGGAAAAAACCTAAGAGTATCAACACAGAGACCCAAGGGCTCGCACGTGAATGTGTGGTGATTTAGTTGAAGGTGGAGGGGGGGTTACCAGCCCCTCACACCCATCCAGAACTCCCTGTGGCTACTGGTGGCTGCGAGGCGACGTGAGGTTCACAGCTGGTCAGGGTTGGCGCTCCCCCCTCCCCAAATTGACATTTCTCACAACCACCGCTGCATTATCGACCGTCACCATTCGCCAATAAGTGACAGTAACGTCACCACGGCAACTGTGCCAGGCGCACTCTGAAGCCACGGGAAGTATCGAAGGCTCGTTGACTGGAGATCCTGGAATAGACCCAGGTGCCATGGCTTGGCTGACAGATGACTGGCAGATGCACCACCTTTACCCCGTACTGTGCCAAATTGCTGCATATTTATCATCCGGTGTTCCGCTCGTTGTTGTGAGCGTCACTCCTCCGTTGTTGTTGGAGGGCGAGTGTCTCCAACTGCCAAGTAGAAGCGACCTTCACGAGTCTCCCCCGCAGAGGCCGATCCCGACACCGCTGGTACCAGTCGACGGCAAAGCCCACTCAGCTCCACATCCTCCCGTACCGCATCAGTCCACCTCCACTCCAGCCCATGCTGTGCCGGCCTACTGACGCACTCACCCACTCATATTTGCTCACGCACCCACGCATGAAATTTTAAATGCAGGCTACGCAAAGCATCGTGATCAATTTACACCAAAATCTACTCTCAACCACTAAAACCACATATTCGTAAACGAGGCGCACCCTAATCAGCCACTATGGTTGTGTGCAGGGTGTTGCGATGTCACGTAGTACGACGTTTCTCCTGCTCCCCCCCCCCCCCCGTTATAACGCGGCATCTATGGCAGGGGTGTCCAAACTTTTTGCAAAGAGGGCCAAATTTTATAAAGTGAAGATTCCCGGGGGCCAATAGTTCCTTCCGACATTTTTACCACAAAAGTTACGTGAAAACACACACTGTTATAAAACAATTGTCATTGTCACAATTACCTTTATTTTTCAATTGACAATGTAAGCCACAACTCTAAAAACACAATTCTGCCTTTCAATTAATCAGATAACATTGAACAAACGGTATAGAATACCTTAAATTTCCATGAGTTAAATATATTTGCCTCATGAACATTTTAAACTGGAGTTATAAGTAATACAAAGAGAACTGTTATCATTCAACTTTAAAACAAGTGAATTTTGCCCTTGTCTTTTACAAGATCTTTCAGAAAGCAAGAGTTTGTGTCACATCTACAGGTACATAACATCAACAGTTATAACCAAATCTCATTCAAGAGTTTAATAAAACAAGTGCCATAAGTCCAAGTGCATTAGTGTGCTTTAGGCTTTTCATTGTTAATAGTGACATGTTACCGTTCAAAACACTCAATTTCAGATGTATCAAGGAACAGATAACTTGCTGACACTAATGAGAAGGGTGATACTGAGATCTAGATTTCAGTAAAGAGACCAGGTCTGGCTTGAGGGCAGTGGTTGAGATGCGAAAAATGCCACGCAAGTGGGAGTCACTCATCCTTGACCTCAATCGGTTCTTGTTTAAGTTCATGACTGAGAATGTTTACTCACACAAATATGTGGAGCCGAATAAGCTCAACATTTTCTTAGCGAATGACCGCATTTCAGGAAACCTGCTTTTGTCCAGCTGCCGGTAAAAGTTAACAAGAGAACAGTGCTGATGTTTCCCGCGGCACTCATCGTCAAACTGCAGCTCAATGAGCTCCAGCTGCAGCTGTGGAGGAGCATCAGGGTCCACGGAGAAGGGGGAAGAGAAAAGCAACATGTCCTTTTCAATAACTGCAAAGTCCCGAAAGCATTTGTTAAATTCCACAGAAAGTGATGCGATAGCTGTTGCATAACTCATTTGCGCACCGATGTTGTCCTGTGGGAAACTGTCAATGACCTCTTTCAAAGCTGGGAAGTTCGCGGTGCAGGGCTCTGTTTGGGACAAGTGTTTTTGGAAAAGTTGCAGTTTGGTTTCAAAGGCCTTGATGTCAGCATATAGCTGGCTCACCACTGCATCTTTCCCTTGAAGATTAACATTCAGCGCATTCAGTTGCTTCGTTATGTCAACCAAAAAGCCAGATTTGCCAGCCATACAGGACGGACAGTTCTTCCATTGGTTGTCTTTTCTCACCCAAAAAATGTCCAATTTTCTCTTTGAGAGAGAAAAATCGCTGCCGTGCGGACTCCCGACTTAGCGACCTCACATCGTTGTGATATATTACGTCACCGTATTCAGCCTGGATGTCACGCAAGAACTGCTGAAACTGTCGGTGGTATAGAGCTTTAGAGCGAATATAATTGATTGCCTTTGCCACTGGTTTCATAACATCGTCAAATTTGAGATGTTTGGCGCAGAGAGCCTGTTGGTGAATGATACAGTGAAGTTTAATAGCGTTGCCTGCTTCTTCGCTGACTTTATTGCAGATCAGTGTGGACAATCCACTTCGCTCACCAGCCATGGCAGGCGCACCATCGGTAATGATCCCATAAACTTTACTCCATGGTAGTTTCATATCATCAACAGCTTCACAAACAGAAACGAATACATCTGTTCCTCTGGTTTGCCCTTTAAGGCTTTTGAGGTCAAGTAGCTCCTCTGTCACGTTCATGTTGTCATCAACTCCTCTTAAAAAAATAAGTAGTTGTGCAGTGTCAGATGCATTGGTGCTTTCATCGCAGGCTAATGAGAAATAAAAGCCACTCCCCTGTCCCCCAGTTGTCTCTGAATATCTGACGATATGTCCTCAACTCTCCGTGCCACAGTGTTGCGTGCCAGGCAAACATTAATAAATTCTTGCTTCTTCTCGGGGCAAATGTTCTCCACCATTTTTATGACAGTCTTTGATAAACGCACCTTCAGTAAAAGGTTTGCCATGTTTAGCTATTAACATGGCCACTTCGTAGCTGGCTTTGGTGATGTTTTCCTTTGACTCACAGGCCGGCGTGAAGAATCGCTGTTGCGATGCCAGAGCAGCTTGAAGTTGCTTTACTTTTTCAGCGCGGTCACTCCCTGTTAGCTTGTCGTATGTTGTAGCATGTTTAGTCTCGTAGTACCTCTTTACGTTGAAATCCTTAAACAAGGCAACCGTCTCTTTACAAATTAGACAAACACAATTTCCTCGATTTCCAGTGAAGAAGTATTGTAATTCCCACCGCTCCTGAAAGCGGCGACCCTCACTGTCAACTTTTCTCCTTTTTTTTGCAGTCGCCATGGCAGCAATAATTCGAGAAGGGTTCGGGGCACGGATGCAGAGCCACAGAGCATTACAATGGTGCTGCCACCATGTGGCAGAAGGAGGAATTACATCTTTAAAGTTTTACGATTTATTCTGACAGAGCTAGCGAGCCATAAATAACACATTATAAGACCGAAGCTGCGGGCCGTATGAACATGCCTGATCTATGGCCTCGTCGTATTGGCCTTAATGGACGTATGATGATGGTGAAAGATGATTCAACAGTGGACGCTGAATTACCGGGGCCCCATTTAACATTCAGGTGACACGGGGCACGGTACGTGAAGAACCTCTTATCTGTACTGTAAGCAGACTCCTCTGTGTGGGATAGTTAACACCTCTTAATGCAGACAACAGCTAACGCAGCCTCGCCTGCCGGAGGAGCTCACTGATGATCGGACAATGTCCAGATCTGTCAAGGATCTGTGAGCTACTCGCACACAATGATCCCCGTGTAGCCTTTAACAAACTGTTGGGGCAAGTGCTTTATAACATCAAAGTGCTTTATAACATCATAAAAATCACCGATCAGATTTTACCATATATGGTATTTGTTGATTGTGAATCGAGACTAATTGTATTGATTCTACTCAGTCAGCTCAAAATGTCCGATTTTATATGAAATATTCTGCGTTTCACAGATAATACAAAGCAACGGTATTGATGCCCGATTTGTATGTACTTTTTATCTAAAAAAATTAATTCAGTCTATCAGACTTTTGTGTTAAATCGCTCTGCAAAAAGTCCTTTTGTATGCTTATAAATCAATGTTATGCTAATGCCAAATTTAATCATAGCCGTGACTCGGTTTACTCGATCCTCGATCCTGTGAGTGTACAATTTTATATTAAACTTCATTTACTGAGTGAATACAAGACCACTTATATGCTGATGTCCATTTTTATCATAGCTGTGATTCATTCAGCCATTCACTCACTCAGCCACAAACTCACTCGGCTACACACTCACTCAGCGACTCACTCAACTACTCAGCCGCTCACTCACTCAGATATTCACTCACTCAATATTTAACTCAATCACTCACTCAACCAATCATTCAACCACCCAATCACCCACTCAATCACTTACTCTACCGCTCAACCATCACTCTCTCACTCACTCAACCATTCACTCACTCAGCCACTCACTCACCTACTCAGCCACTCACTCATTCAGCCATTCACTCACTCAGCCACACTCGCTCAACGACTCACGTACTCAACCACTCATTCAGCTATTCACTCACTCAACCACTCACTCATTCACTCCGCCACTCACTCATTCAGCCATTCACTCATTCAGCCGCTCACTCACTCAGCTATTCACTCACTAAACCACTCGCTCACTCAACTACTCACTCCCTCAACCACTGACTGAACCACTCAATAAACCACTCACTCACTGAACCATTCACTCATTCAGCCACTTGCTCAACCAATCACTCAATCATTAACTCAACCACTCACTCAACCATGCACTTATGCACTCAAACTCTCATTCAACCACTCACTAATTCACTCAACCACTCACTCACTCAACCATTCACTCACTTGCTCACCCAACCAGTCACTCAACAACTCGCCCAACCACTCACCTAACCACTCACTGACTTAATGACTTACTCAGCCAATTACTATCTCACTTACTCAACTACTCTTTCACTCAGCCACTCACTCCTTCACTCAGCCACTCACCCTTTCACTCAGCCACACACTCACTCAACCACTCAACCGCGCACTCACTAAGCTACTCACTCACTTAATCACTTACTCTACCACTCAACCATCACTCTTTCACTCAATCAGCCACACTCGCTCAACGACTCACTAACTTAACCACTCAGCCGCTCAGTCACTCAATCACTCAACCACTCGCTCCCTGAACTACTCACTCCCCTCAACCACTAACTGACTGAACCACTCGTTCAACCATTCTCAAATTCATTCAACCACTGACTCAACCATTGTCACTGGATGAGCGAAATTGAATGGTGCAACTGGTTTTGCCGTGTTAAATGAGATATTTTTACAATTCCTGCTCGGATACTGTACGTTTAGATGGCATGGCTTAGTACAGTGCATACGGCGTTTTGCATGGAATGTGGTCGTGTCTCCAGCAGTTATCTTTCGAACGAGAGTCGTAAAATTTGGACACCTTCTAGGGCACTCGGATCAGATGAAGAACACCAAATTACATGCAATAGAAAATAAATTTCGTCGAGTTAAGGACAAAATTGTGACGTATTTGTTAATACCATTGGTGCCAATTTATACCGGTAATAAGTATTATTTTTGAAAAAATGTTTTACATCTGGATTCAGTCCTTGTTCGACCAAGTCTTCAATAATTGCTATGGTGTCAAGTACAGGTACATTGGTGAACAGAGAGACTACATCGAAACTGACAAGCAAATCATCCGGAGAGAGTGAGATGTCCTTGATTAGAGAAACCAAGTGAACTGAGTTAAGTACAGCTGAGATGGACTTGCCAGTAAAAGGAAGCAGAGTCTCAGATAGAAATCGGGCCAGTTTGTAGGTGGGTGAGTTAATCGTGGAGACGATAGGACGGAGCGGGGTACCTACTTTGTGGATTTTAGGAAGGCCATAAAATCTGGGTGGTCTAGCAGCCCAAGGTTTTAGGGAGCTCTGCTTGGTCTGATCAATTAGAGAAGTCGACTTAGTGATAGCCACTTCCGTGCCCTCGTCGAGGAGGCCGCTCTGCTATCTTACAGTTACATGCTAATTTCTCACATTAACATCACTCGCCCCGGCCACTTCTTTATGACCCTTGACCTACACCCATTTCAAACCTTTTAAAAAGTCTACCTCAGCAGCAGACCATGCTTTCCCACCTGATGATGGACGCTTGTTATGCGCCCGAAACGTCGTGATTTAATTTATTTTATACCTACGTGACTTTACCGAAAGAACCAAAGAGGTACAGTACATTATATATTGACCCTCAACGAATGAGTGGCTGAGTCAAACCCGAACCAAGATTTGAACCTGCAACCTTCCCGATTGCAAGCCGCTGGCTCTACCACCAAGCAACCTGGCCAGGTAAAATATTATTACGTGGGACTTAATAGGTGCCCGCTGAGAGCAATAAGCCCAACAGTGGATGTCTATGAGGCTGTACCACAAGACTGTGTGTGGGGTGCAAAGCTGCTAGATTGGTCAACTCAAAATACTTTGTGAAGTGTTTCCCAAGACCTCGTATAATCCAAGTGCACATGCTTCTGTCCACTAACTTTAATAAAGACACCACGATTCATTGATTCCAGTCAATTATCATGGCCAACAACATGCAATAAATGTTTAAAATAATGTATTATTAATCATTTGCATTTGTAACACTTCCTTCTCTACATTCCCACTGGTGTGGATTCTGTACCATTATAGATTTCATAATTTAATATTTTTACAGAACTCAATTGATTCCTAATGTAGATTCTATCGTAGTATTGTATGGAGGTATATTGTACAGAGTATTTGCACAAAATAATTTACAGCTATTTCTAAGCAATGAATGAAGGCCTTGCCACGCCAGGTTGTTTTTTTTCACCATACTTCATGTGAAGAGGCCGCAGGGAAATGTTTCGGGCAGCAGAGGGCAGTGCAGAAAAAGCCCATGTTGTGCAGTGAGTCTCTGGTTTAAGACCAATGCTTCCCACCTTCAACCTCCATAAAAGGAGCCGAGAGCGGGGGTCTTTGAATCGTTGACACTACAAAAGTATTAATGAGGAAAAAAATACTTGTGTAAGTTGTGCCAGGTCAGGTGCTACCAGATTCTGCTCAGGCCCATGGACTAAAGGGAATGTAGAATTTCCACCACTGGGTCAGGGTGACCAGTGGTGATGTCCCAGAGTGTTCGAGGTCGCTGCGCCAGCACGGCCGAGCCATGCACTCATTTTCAGGCCTCCAAAGTTGTCCTGAGCCATGACCACCGGTCATATAACACTTGTCACCTGTAACTTTCACAAACGAGAGGGATCGTCTGCTCAGTAACTTCCCTTCATGAACACTCACTCCGCCCGTAACACTTGGGTTTGAGCCGTGGCCTCCCGTCGGTCAGGGAGACACCCCCATTGCCGCTCGTTATGGCACCATCTCTCCACCCTCAACCCTTTCATCCATTCGGTAAGTGTGCGTGCATACACCTCCACACTCATTACGTCTGCGTAACGGTGGCACAGTGGTTAGTGCACTGCGCTCTAACCCCGGTGATCTGAGTTCGATTCCCACGAGCGGGCCCTCCCCCCGGTCGACTCGGCCTTAAATGAGTAACAAGTGCAGCACCGGGGAAACAAAGCCGGCTCCCTGCCCATTGCTGTTCCTGCGGGCTCTACGCCCGCCGTGTCTCACCCTACGCCCACCATGCCTCATTGTGCTGTCCCCCTGCTGTGAGTAGACGCAGCATGCGGACGAGAAAAGACTACGGACCGACGTGGAGCAGTGCCTTAGACAGATTGAGGCACGCGCAGGCCTGGAGCGCTACCACGACGCCACTTTCCAGTAGCTGCTGCGCAGGAGTAGCCGCCTCCCCATCTTACCGAAGCAGTTTAATATGCTGCCACGGCTGTCCATTCGTAATTGGGGGTGGGGACGATTATTCTCGTAACGATGATCTAATACGAATGAATCTGTAAAGTTGTTGTTGCTGTTCGGGATTTACCCTGTAGAAAGCTGGCATGATCGGTTGAAGTGCATATAACTACTCAAAACATGACGCCGCTTCTGGCTGAGACCAATTGTGCCCAGATCATGATGACGGCGTTTGTGGTGGCTTGCGGTACGCTTCTTAATTTGAGGTGTCACTGGTTCGGGGCAGGCTGACGTTGCCTGCGATTCTGAGCTCGCAGGGAGATCTCCTCTTATTGCTGAAATCGCAGCTTGTGGTGCAGCAACCCGTCCTCCAGACGCGGCGTCCCATCCTGCAGATCCAGCATCCCGTCCTGCAGATCCGGCGTCCCGTCCTGCAGATCTGGCGTCCTGTCCTGCAGACGCAGCGTCGGTGTTCTCCCGACGCGGTGCCTCATTCTCCCGATGGAAGCCTGCCGTGCAGGAAGTGCGTAGCAGACAGCAAATAAGACACGTTTAGAGAGATGTCCACCTGTCATTCTGGCATGAGGATTGGCCTCCCTTTACGAGATGGTAATGTTACTAAAATAGGAGAAAAACTCATGTGTACACATACTCTGTGATGCATCCCGACATGCATTTGTCTTCAGAAGTATTTAACCCTTTCCATTTCTGATGTAGTATATGTACGTCATCCGTTCTTTTTTCTTCCAATTCTGTTTCGATGACGTACGTATATGTCGTCGGAATAGAACCAGAAGAAAACCCAACAAAATAACTGTATTGGTACCGAGGCTCCCACAAGGCCGTGCGGGAGGGCGTGTGGCACAGTTTGGCGCCAGCTATCGTAGAGTCTGGTCGTGTCGCTACGGTTATCTGTGATGAGTACAATGTCCTTAAAAACAACAGTGCTACTACGCCTCTCTAAATAAAATTTATGCTGAGCCGCTTGCGTGTTCTGAGATTCAGCAATAAACGGGAATACCCACCCTGCAACTTGCAAATGTCTTGGAACGGGAAAGGGCTAATTTGAAAAAATGGTAGCGCTCATGCCAGGTGCTTAAGGAGTAGTTATATCCGTAGGCTGTAATGAGACCACGGAGCTCGTGGCTCTGCCAAATGGCACACCTCAACCGGGAGGGCTGAGACACCGAGATGGGTCCTTCAAGCTGTTTTGGGTAATAATCCTCTGACCGATTTGGCTGCTTTCCTATAGGTTAATTCCTTAACAGTAACACAACTTTATGCCGAAGTTTGATTGATATTGGTTTATCTTTTATGAGTGATGGTGTCCCTGCCACTAGTGACAGATATAATGCACAAATGCTTTCAACCTTAGTTGGAAAGCATTAAATAAATAAATTCAAAAGGAACTGTAATAGCACATTAACTTTCTCTAATAAGAAATAATATCTTTGTAAAAAATACCGTCATGTAAGAATATTCAGCAAAAAGTAAAGATTTTAATAAGTACAGGCTCCAGACCTTAATTTTTTTTCTTTCTTTCTTTCTATACTCATAATGCCCAATTTCTGTGTAGCGGCTTCAGATACGGTCACATTTATACACTCTAGGAATCTACATTGCACTGTATGGAATACATTTTATTAATCCTAGAAAACAATCAGCAAAACATTTAAGTACAGACCTCTATTACAATGAGCCTTATGGTAAGCATGCCAGACTTTTACCTAAACGTCGTCACCATTTTTGTTTCTTAAATATGGAAATAACATTTGATTGGCCAGAATCAACAATATTTAAGTTCAATTACAATAACTGGCTACACCAAGCATGGCTGTGATCAATGCTGTGGTCAGTGAGCATTGTGAGGTCTTTCATCATATCGCTACTTTTCAGCATCGGACTATTCTAAAGAATATTTGGGAGAGTGGATATGTAAACAGGTAGACAATCTTCGTGTGCTGGGTCTGTAAAACATCAACACATCGACAATGTTTTACATTTTCAAGGAAGCTTACCACATTTGCGGTACTCTTTGCCGATGCATTTCAAACTCTGCAGTGCCCCCGCCCTCCTCCTCCGCGCTGTGTTTCACCAAAGGTTACTCCACAAGAGGTCACGTCACCCCGGCTGCACAGGCTGCCGCACCACAGACACACCGGGGAAACCGTGATCGCAACATAGACTCTTTACTATACTGCATCATTGAACAACACCATAAGCATCACAGAAACAATGATTTTTCAAAAACAAATTACACAAACAAACTTAAAATTATATCTGGCGTTTGTCAAATTACGTCAGAGGGTCATTTTTTTGGCGCTAGCATCCCAATACAAGTTCGACATTTAAGCGTGCCTCGACGTTTTTACCCACCCCGATTGGACATCTGTGAAAAAGAGCTTTACACCTCATCGAATTCCTCCAATAAAAATATTCTGATTCTGATAAAACCACCCAGTTAGTTGAACACGAAACTTTTAAGTACAGTAGAACCCCTCTTAACGATAATTGGTTCCATGAAACCGGTCGTTAGGTGATTTGGTCGTTTAGCAAGTATAGGAAATGCAGTACACCAAGAAATCTAAAGATATGTTTCCACTTCAAAGCACAGCAGACACTGATTGTAAACAACGGCCCCCAACGCTCATGAATGGACGTCACCGATTGGCTGCGGCCTGGTGAGACCACTTTGAAGCTCGCCGATTGGCCGAAATTGGTGGTCGCGTGCTCGTTGTAAGCCCGTCGTTAACAGAGGAATGATCGATAAGCGTACACCTTTGGCTCTATGGAGGCCTATCGTTAATCGATTAGTCATTAACAGGGGTGGTCGTTAAGAGGGGTTCTACTGTAAAAAAAAACCCAGTGTGTGTCAACTCAGTCGAATCACTCATTCGTTGCTGTCCTGATCAGACGGCCCTGGGAGAGGAACGGAAACGCCTGGGCTACGGCATGGGCCTCACCCAGTGCACACACACGCGTGTGCGTGAGGGATTATTATTTATTATTGTTTATTAAAGAGATACCTCATAGAAACTTGTCTTTAAATAAGCAATAACAAACTCATTTTAAGGTTCAACACATTTAAGATGGCATGTGACACAAGTCTCCCAGTGCAATGCCGGAGGCCGAGCATGGTTTATAATTTGTCTTGACCCCTACAACTGGTGACACTTCACTAAGACGTAGATTTTCTAAGCCAATTCAATTTATATTAGTTTTTTGCATTTGGTGTTAATTTTATGCCATATTCTTGTCATTAACCCTCCAAGGCCTGACACAGATCGTCACATTGGGTATCCGTCGATTACGAACGTTCCGCTTACGAAATTTCAGGCGAACGCTATTTCGATAAACAAAATCGAATTTCCACGTTAACAAAATAAAAAATGGCACACGCCATGAGATCATCAAAGGAGCCACCCATTTCATCCACCTGCGCCAGCGTCACGGTGTCCCTGCAGTGCAACAGTGATGCCTCCACATCGCCTCAACAGTCATTCTAACATGCAGCAAATCTTTTGACGAGTTCCCTGAAAAGGTTTGTTTTAAATTATTATTGAATTTTGATTTAAAGCTTTCGTGACTGCAGGGATTCATCTTCATGGTTCTTTTGGTAAAGTCACGTAGAAGGGAAGTAATAAAATAATAAAAATAAAACAAAAAATAATTCTCATGACGTTTCGGCCACAACGCAAGCAGCCGTCCTCAGGTGAAGACTGTCTTCTCGACAGACCTGTTCTTCACCTGAGGACGGCTGCTTGCGTTGTGGCCGAAACGTCGTGAGAATTATTTTATTGTTTTATTTTTATTCTATTATTGAATTGTTTTAATATTGTTCTTAATTATTTTTGGAGCGTGAAAAGTGGTATGTCTTTAGGTTAGGAGTTGAAATGCCTATCCAAAACACATCCCTATTTTTTTTATAAATAGCAAAACCCATTCAAATTTACTAAATTTAGTTTTACGCGTGTTTTTTAATGCATCGCCTTCATAAATCAAGGGATAGCTTTCGATTTAAAGCTTTTGTAACTGCAGGGATTCATCTTCTTGGTTCTTTCGGTAAAGTCACGTAGAAGAGATATATTAAATTAATAAAACATAATATAATACAATTCTCACGTTTCGGCCACAACTCTGTCTTTCCGACAGACCTGTTCTTCACCTGAGGACGGCTGCTTGTGTTGTGGCAGAAACGTCGTGAGAATTTTATGTTTTATTTTTATTATTTCTCTTCTACGTGACTTTACCGAAAGAACCAAGAAGACAAGGGATACCTGTACTACTTACACACGCCAATGATGATACAAATGTCAACCAGTAAAGCTCACAGGTGGCTTAAGACTTTTTCACAACCGAATTAAAAATTTAAACTTCCGAACTGATTATCCAAAGAAGCTCAAAGCAGTTTGAGCGAAATGCTGTGCATTGATGTTAAATTCAGTTGTGAAGTCTTAAGTCTATGGCGAGCTTTATTGGTCTCTTACTAGTCATTCTGTACTGCCCTCCAGACAGTAACATCATAAATCTTTTCATGGAACTCTCCAACCTTCTCAACCTTTTCTTCTGTAAGTGGTCGCCGCTTTATAATAGTCGTAGAGTTTAATAACCCCGGCTCTTCGGGAAGCGGAGTTAGATCATCACCTAAGCTGTCCTCTCCTCTACAAATCTACTGTCAATGACGGACCAACACGTGTGTCAAGTATGGATATTGGCAGCACATCAGACCTAACAGTTGAGCCCAAATCAAAATGTCAACTCAATCTACTCGGAACGCCATTTCGCAGCCAACTGTGCACCATCTGTCTACCAGCCATCGAGGACAATCACCGACTACACTTGCAAGTTTGGCTACTTAAATTTTACCACGCTCTAACAAGCTTCTAAATTCCACCTCCTCCTTGGCGTCATCCATCATCCGACACAATCTGCACCAATCAACTGGACCTTAACCCCAGACATGCCATGGACACTTTAGGGCCCGTAAAATGCTTTACCAGTCATTCTATTATCATGATAACCAGTAGCGCTCGGCAGCAGCTGTTGCGTAAAAGTGCAGCAGATGCCGACTGGAAACAATCTACTTGTGCTACAGACTCAAAACTGACCACATTACAAAGTCTCATCTGTAAAGCCACCAACAAGCTCATCATACCCTCAGGTGCTTCATATAAACTCTGTAGCTAACCACCTGTGTAAGCTCTGGTCCATACTTAATGCCATTCTCCATCACAGTGGTGGCCAACGTGCGATCACCAGGCCAACTCTTCGCTGTTAAATTCGATATATTTTTAAAGAGACACACTTACCAACATTGCCTACACCACCCAGATAACATTTTCGCTGTTAAATCAACCCCCGGCCATTTTTTCTTTTGCCGCTCACTCAACACATTTCACCTTTCACACCCCGAGAGAGGTTCTCAACCCCATCCAAAATTTCCCCTGGATTTATTCCCATCCAGCGCTTCAAGCGTTGCGCCGATAAGGTTACAATGGTTTCTCATCTTGAAAACGCCTTTTTCCTATTCGGTCTTTTCCCTCCATTTAAATTGGGCTGAGTAACTCATCTCAAAGAAATCCGGCTCTGACCCCTGAAGACCCTGCCAACTACCGCCTTACTCACCAACGTAGTAACTATCTTCAAACTTCTTGAGCGAATCGCCTTCGTCCGAATCAAAGATCACGTACATTCACCCCCCAACGTCTACCTCCCCTCCCCCCTTTCAGTCTGCCTACCGCCCAGTCCACTCAAATGAGACTGCACTCATCAAGAATATTAACATTCTAGCTGTCAACTCTAATTCCACCGTTGCTCTCTTCAGTCTCGACATACATCTGCCACCTTCAACACTTGGAACAAGATTTTGATCGATTGACTAAAATCTAATTTCGACATCAGCGGCACAGCCCCTCAGTGGCTCTGCCATGTCTCTTCGAGAGAAGCTGCTACATCACGATGGGCAAGTCCTCGACCCGTCGTTGCATCCACTGTAGGGGTCTCTCAGGGATCTGTCCAGGGCCCCTTACTGTTTAGTCTACATCTACCTCATCAACGGTCACGGTATATAAAATATCACGTCTACGCTAATGAAACTAAATTATACTCCACTCAGGGCCCACTTAATTCACCTATTAAATCCCCCCCAAAGCCATAGCCCTTAATCGAGGCACCAGACAGCCGTTCATCATGGTGTCGCTCCCCCAATGTCGACATATCACCGGCTAAACCAAGTCTCTCAAACATGCTGCGTATCACCTTGGACTCCACACGCTCACCGAACAACAACGTCCTCAACACAGTAAAGAGTTATGCAATCACCATCTCAGGGGCTTCCGGGCACATCCGCCTCATGTCGTCTACAGCCACACCACCAAACACTGCCTCGTAGAAGTCGGCACTCATCTTGACAATTGCAACGCCACCCTTACTCGGATATCAGATTGACAAAAAAATCTCAACAAACTTTAGCGTCTATGAAACAACTTATCACTGGCTGTCCTTGGGATTGGGTGGTACCCAAGCAGCTTCCTTGGCTTTAATTTAAAAAATATTGCGCTGGCTCCCCATCAACTCGAGGGTACAGTACAACATTTCTATGCTGTGCCGCCGAACTCCACATCAAGGTATTCCGCCATAGCTCTCTCTACCCCTTCTCACTCCAGACCACAACAAAGCACATCGTACTATGGGGCACATCGAATACTCTACTCATCTCCCACTGCACATTCAGGCTTTCACCTGATCAGACTCCCACCTTTTAAGGATCACCCCATCCACAGGCTCTCACCTGTTTTGGCCCTCACCTGTTCAGGTCTTCACCCGTTCAGGTCCTCACCCGGTTCAGCCTCTCACCCGGTTCAGGCTGGCATATGAGAGTTTTAGCTCTGGCTCCATGCCTCTGACTTCTCAATTGTACGATGCTTCAGATTCGTGAAATGTACGCGTGCTATAAATTGTGTTTATTATTATCAAGAGGCACACAGGCGCAGGATTAAAATTTGGAAAATTGAATTTTCATGAAAGCAGCGAACACCCATGTGCTTGAAGAACGAAGTATTCAATCAGTGGCTATTACGATGACATACGAATCAGAAGCACAGAGCAAACGCTGAAAGGTGCACAAAGAATGGAGAGAT